AGGTTGAACTGAGATAGGCGAGGTTGTGGGTATAGCCGAATAGTAATACAGGATGGATGAGGCACGGTACGAGGTAGCAACAGGATAAAGACAGCTGTTATGCGGCCTGAGGAACTGTTAGGGAACAACCCCGCCATCCTGGAGGTCACCCTGCTGTGTGACTGGGGGCTGCTAGCAAGCCTCCCGACCAGCACGGCAACCCCCTAAGAGAAGGCCACAGACTGGGGAAGGGAATCCCTGTGACAGTCCCCCCCTTGCTAGGCGGCTAGTGCCACAAGGGATGGCCTGATCTTCTTTCTCGTCTTTTCTCCCCCTCAGCTCTTCGCTGTAAAAACATGCTTGCCGGTAATAAGCAACGAGACTGTTGCCCCCCAGAATAGAAGGGGCGCGCGTTGTTTTTGGGGAAAAAAAAAAAAAAAAAAAAAAGGATCACACTGAAACGGTGAAGACAACATGGGGGCGAGTTAAGAGGAAGGTATCGTGAGGGATGGCAAGGTAGCCTAAACAGGTTAAGAGTCTTAAGACAGATAGCATGATAGCTGGACAAAGGTAGATTAAGTAGGAAATGATGATACAATAAATAGCCCGTGGACAGTGTGGAGTTTGATAGGCGGCGCGAGGAACTGCATGGGAGGCCCCTCCCCGCGCCCCGTCCCTCTGAGGGTCCCCCTGCTGCATGTCTGGGTGCTGCTAGGAAGCCTCCCCGCCAGCAGGGTGGCCTCCAGAGAAAAAACATGGTTTGGGGGGGGGGTGGGCCCCCTTTAGCAGGTTCCCCCTTGGTAGACGATCAATGCCGCAAGGGTTGGGGTGTTACCCTTTTATGATCTGATCTCCCGCCCTTCTTTGGATGTACAGACATGCTTGCCGGTGATAAGTAACTGGACTGCTGCCCCCCAAAATAGAAGGGGCTTTGTGTAAAAAAGAAAAGACAAACAAAAACAAAAACAAAAACGGTGAAGACAAACAAGAAGATCACACTGAAATCGGTGAAAACAACCACTTTTGTCCTTCTTCTTTTAACTCCTTCACCGTACCTCTCACATACAAGGCTCACCACTTCGACAATACAGATGTGATAAATTAATATTTATTATTTAAGGAATTACTATTTTAAGTAAGGAATTACTATTTAAGTAAGGCATTGCTATTTAAGTAAGGAATTAATATTTAAGTAACGAAATAAGTTCAAAGAACAGAAAGAGCTGCAGGGTGTCAGTGTGCTTCATGTTGTCTTCTATTCCTTTCGTTTGTGTCACAAAGTGTGCTCGTTTAGTCGATAGATATGTCTGAGAATATACAGCCCCACACCCCCAACACCCTCCCCCCCCACACACACACATGCACATCATCACACACACACACACACACACACACACAGAGGGGAGGGGCTCCGGTAAAATTTGAGTTGGAGCAAAACTGAGAACAATCTGCGCATAATCAGCCTTGTGGATGAATGGGACATACTACAGACATCTTTTTTTTTTTTTTTTTTTCAAGTTTAAACTACCCTATATTCATCTCTCATGCTATCCTCCCCTACCTACCTATCTACGCAGTCGATTTTATTTTCCATGAATATCTGTGCCGACAAGCTGGGCAGTCGTAAGAGTTATGGGTTGACATGACCTCTGCTCTATGTGGGGGGAGCAGCTCCTGAGCTCCTAACACCTGGCATAGACTGGGAAGAATGGTACATACATCTTGTTGTTCAGAAAAAGAAAAACCGAAAGATCATGAGCGCAAACTTTAATCATGATCGCTACAACAGTATTAGGTAGGGGCTATACCCCTTTCTATAGGAAAACAATCTGAAAATGACACTCACCGGCCCATAGCTTGTCGCTTTCTGGACTGTTGCGCCCGACGTCGACACCCCAACCCAACTACCCTGCCGATCGCCCTGTTCTTTCTCGTCTGTCCCTTCCGACCTGCCGCTGAGACTCAAGTTCGGTGACAAGGCGTCTCTTGGGGATTGCTGCGAGGACATGCTTCTCTCTCTCCCTTCAAACAGAAATTTGTAGGTATTCAACTCCTGCACCAGGGCGTCCTTGGAGCTGCAGAGGAGCTGATATAGCTGTGTGCTGTTGATGGCAGGGCGATCGATGGTTGGTTGTGCCGGTGGTGGCGGTGTGTTCTCCTTGGTATTGTGACTATTGTCCTTCGCATTGGGCCCTGCCTGATCTCCAACAGGATTACAATGGGCACAAAATCCGAACCAAATCTCATTAATAAATGGAAATTATTTTTAGAAACAGAAAGGGGTGCAGTGAGGGGCAAGTCAGTCTGGTTGTTTGTTTGTTTGTTTGTTTGTTGAACGAGGTCCATCATGATTCGAACAGGATTACAACGGACGCAAGATCAGACCAAAATCTCATGAATAAATCGGAATTATTTTTAGAAAAAGAGAGGGATGCATTGAGGGGCGAGGCAGTCTGTTTGTTTGTTTGTTTGTTTGTTTGTTTGTTTGTTTGTTTCTTTGTTTGTTTCTTTGTTTGTTTCTTTGTTTAACGAGGTCCATCATGACTGGAACTTAAAGGGGGGGTCTGCATTTCAACAGTTACATGGGTGTACCAACTGAGCTAGGTTCGCTGGTATTTATTAATGATATCTCAGTCTGCCGTCGATAGGGGACGGACCAGCTTGTCCATATACAGTGCATCATTCGCTTGCAAATCTGATCACACAGGTCTTCATCGGTTTGGCAAGACTACTGTCTTCACCTGTAAAAAAGAACGCCCAGTTATGATCTCTGTATCTAGACTGAAAGTTGTGCCAATTACAGTTATAGTTGTCGGGCATTCCATTCAGGTCAAGATGGTACTGTCTGTGGCCCTTCCATTTTCATACGCTTGGAGATTCTGACACCACACTTTGTGGCAGCACACGGAAAACAAAAAAGCAAAAGTTGAAGGCATTCGGGAGGAGAGACCGATGGACTTAACGATAGATCCTCTGTAATGGACAAGTGTCTTTTTTTTTTTTTTTTTTTT